ACACACACACAAAAACGAACAAACAACAAAGCAACTAAACAAAGAATGCCTTTATCAAACGAGTGGAAACCGCAAAGAAACAATGGAATCCACGAAAGATCTCAAGCCGAAGCCCAACTTCCGAAACTGCTGCCGAACGCCTTACAGAAGCCAAACCCGAACCCTGAAGCAATCCACCTCAATTAATGCATCATATATAGAAAAACAATTAGCTTCACATATTTGTGTTCCATTATATGAGGGTTAAAAGTCAACATAAGAAATATGGACACCATAGACTGAGTAATTGTGATTTTATGATGAAAGTTTATTTAGAAATATGTATGAGTGACTTGTTGCATTGACTCCAACAAGTCATGAAAGCAAATTCAGTTCTCTAATTTTTTAATGATGAAGTGAGTGATAGAAAACAAATATATAATAAATAGTAGGTTTTTAAATACAAAATAATATGTGATAACATTAATTTAATATGTTTGTGTCAAATAGGTTTGAAAAAAATATGTTGAAAAAATCAATACAAAACGGGTGTAAACAATTAATTATTTCAAACATCAGCAAGTATGTTTCAATAATAAAGAAAAAACTAATGAGTTATTTGTCAAAAAGTAAAGGGAACTAAAATTCCACTAATTAAAGGGGTCCAATTTGGGCTAAAAAAAATATAATAAATAAATAAATAATATAATAATAACATATAATTTTAGAATTTCAAAAGAATTAAGTCAACTAGTTATGTATCAAATAATATAAACAATAATTGTGAAATTTCGTTAACATTAATTAAAATGATATCATGCCAAAGAAAAATATTTAAAAATAATATTAAATATTTTTTTTTTTATATTATTTGTTTATATTTAAATCCCCATATCACATTATTATTGTGTGGATTCATGTGAACTGCGGAATGGATGATTATAGACGTGGGAGCATTTCATATCTAAATTGATCATTTAAAGCAAGCAAATGAAAATAAATAATTAAGTCATACTTAAGTCATGACTCATGAACAGATAAGACTATATGGGTACTTCATATCATATGAACATTAATTATTTAACTAGCGCGGGCCTTAGTATATGCTTTGTTGAATAAAAATTAACTAGTACGTACCCCGTGCAATGCACGAGACATAAATATTAAATAAATTATTTTCAGACGATTTTGTTCGTTTAAGTCTAAAAATCAATAGGGTTATATATTTTTCACTTGTATATTAGGGCTAGCTTCTAAAATAATTAATATATTATCTATACATATTTAATTCTTTTTTTATTGGTTATACATATTTATTTCTTAATTTGAAATAAAAAAAAAAATTGACCAGTTGAGTATTAAATCAGCACTAGTTAATTTATTAAGCAAGTAAAGACGCAAATCAAGACAATTTAATTATCCAACAATTTAGGGTAATATATAGTTATTTCCTTTATTAAACATGATTTTTAAAAATAAAACAACATCAGCCCCAAATAATAGGCAACATTCATGGTTTTGTTGAAAACCAAAATAACAAAATCCTTAATTAATGGGTAGCATTTAATGCTACCTTTTTTATATATAAAAAAAATATACTAAGAATGGAATGTAATTAATGCAAAATGATTTTGACCAAAATTTGACTTGCTATTTTTGAAAAATAGTAAATCTTTATATATATATATATATAGATAGATATAAAAAAAAATACTAAGAATGAAATGTAATTAATGCAAAGTGATTTTGACCAAAATTTGACTTGCTATTTTTGAAAAATAGTAAATCTTTTTTTATATATATAGATGGGACAAGGTTATCATATTCTTAAACATGTAATTAAAAAGATTGATTAATTAAGTAACCCACCAATTTTGATGATTTCAAAACTGGATACTTTTAAATTAAGTAACCCACCAATTTTAGATACGTGGGGCTTCCATTAGGGATAGACAGATTCAAACTGGATACTTTCAAATTTGTGAGTGAGTGTGTGAGATCTAAAATCATGAGTTGGAAAAACAAATTCTTGAGTGATTCAGGCAGAGAGATTCTTATTAAAACAGTGTTGTGTGCTCTTCCCACCTATGTTATGTCATGCTTCAAAATTCCTATGTCTGTGATTAATCAAATTTGCAATGAGATTGCTAATTTTTGGTGGGGAAAAACTGAGAGTGAGGGGAACAGAATTCATTGGGTTGGGTGGGGTAAAATAGCCAAGGCTAAGGAGGGGGGNNNGGGGGGGTCTGGGATTTAGAGATTTGAAGGTGTTCAATGAATCCCTTTTGGTGAAACAGTTGTGGAGATTAATTACTTCTCCTAATCTTTTGGTTAGCAGAGTGTTGAAAGGGAAATATTTGTGGAATAGTAGTTTATGGAATGTCAGAGCTAAAGATGGGGATTCTTGGCTTTGGAAGAGTTGGCTTAGTGTTAGGAATTCTCTAAAACTTGGGGTTAGATATGAGGTGGGGGATGGGGCTTCTATTAGTGTTTGGGACTCTCCCTGGATTCCTAATAATTCTTCTTTTAAACCTAGATGCTGTCTTTCAGGGGAAGTAAGTTAGCTTTCTCGTAGTTATTGGGGTGTGGTTTTGACATCTCAATAGTTGTAATCAGTTGGTTATGCGTTGTACCCGGATATTTCGTTTGAGTTATTAATTTAGTTGTTTGACCTTTGAAAAAAAAAAAGGAATATAATTGTGAGGCTTACACTTGTGATAAGCAATAAAAAGTGAAACATAACTAAAAAATAGAAGCTATATCAGCTGAAAAAATATTCAAAAAATAGTTTCATTATATAATATATATATATATATATATATATATATTCTCAAATCAATAATAATCTCATATATTTAATATTGATCATTGTCACCCTTACTGATGCAGATATAATATATAATTATTAGTATTATTATAACATTTAATATTACTATTTAACATTTAGTAAGACATCTTGTCTTGTTGCACAAGTTAGGAATAGTGTTTAGTTTGAGTACCTTATTTAAAGGGCTCTTGTGCTTTGTTATTAGGGGAGTTAATTATTGAATGAAATAAGAAATTGAGTGTTTATCGTGTTTGTTCTTGAGATCACGATCTCATTAATATCGTCTCACTCGTACGCTTCCCTACATCAGTTGGTATCAGAGCTCAGCATGATTCACGATTTTGTCGCGAAGACAAGATGCTGCAAACGACAGGAGCGTCGCCGCCATCTACAACCTGAGCCGTCGGACCGAGTGGTTTGGTCGTCAGATCGGGACGATGGGTCGTCAAATTGCAGATTTGTCCACAGAGATCAGGAACATATGTCTAACTATGCGTACTATGGTTCGGGACGAGCAAACAAACCGCGACTTGGTCGGCTGAGACGGTCGTGGGGGTTATCACGGAGGTCGGGGTGGAAGAGTGCCTGGCGGGGTGCCCCATCAGTGTACGCCACCACCGATGCACGGCGAGGACGACGGCGAAGATACGTCGTCGGAGGTGAATATTTTCAACTTCCGACAGGCGCAACTAGATGACGAGCAGCATTGGAAGTCATGGTTCCAATTCGAGATCTCTGAAATTTGGGGGGCATTTGTGGACGCGCAAGAGTCGATCGAATTTGAGGGTCCACCTCGTTTTGATGACGAATGGTCGACCAAATATACGAGTCAACCTATTTTTTATGCCGAGGGGTCGACCGATTACGAGGGTCCACCTATTTTTTGATGAGGAGCCACGTTTTAGTGAGAAAATAACTGTTAGGGTTTAGGAACCTTATATAAACGAATCGGCTGATTTTTGAATGAAAATAAGATTTAATTAGTTTTATCGAGAAAGTATCTCGTTCATCATTTTCATTGGTACGCTTTCCTACATAAAATAGAATTTTTATGAAAACAAAATAGTATAAAAATAAAAATATCACTATTATCTATTCCAAACATTTTTTTTTTTCCAAATTGTATCGAGTGCCTTCAATTTCCTCCAACCCATTCTCATTAAAGTTTGACTATAATCCTCATTATTTAAAGTTGCCTTAAATAAAGAACTATAAAATGATATACCCCATTATATATGCTAAACACTTTGGGCCCTAATAAATAAAAGTAAAACACCACCCAACCAAAAAAAAAAAAAAAAAAAAAAAAAAATCCAAACTTCTAACTTTCCAATAGAATCTTGCTCATGGGCACTCTTCAAGTAGAAACTCCATATCCAAACACCTCGAAGCAAGAAGAAGAAGAAGAAGACGATGACGTGTCCCCCATAGAAGAAGTCCGTCTAACCGTGACCAACACGGATGACCCGACCCTACCCGTATGGACCTTCCGTATGTGGTTTTTGGGCCTCCTCTCTTGTGGGCTCCTCTCTTTCATCAACCAATTCTTCGCCTACCGAACCGAGCCCCTTGTCGTGACCCAGATCACGGTCCAGGTGGCGACCCTACCCATCGGGCATTTCCTGGCCGCTGTGCTGCCGAGTCGGGGGTTTCGGGTTCCCGGTTTCGGGTCGAGACGGTTCTCGTTAAACCCGGGCCCGTTTAACATGAAGGAGCACGTGCTGATATCCATATTTGCCAATGCGGGCAGCGCGTTCGGTAACGGGTCGGCTTATGCGGTGGGGATTGTGACTATTGTGAAGGCGTTCTATGGGAGGAATATTTCTTTCTTGGCTGGCTGGTTGCTTATTATCACAACTCAGGTTTCTAAGTCTCTCTCTCCCTCTTTCTCTCTCTCTAGTCTCTCTCACTCGTGCAAAATTGCATTTTTAGTCATGTTGGTTTAAACGTCATAGCATTTTTAGTCTCTAGATCTTAACTTTTCGCGTTTTGATCCTGTAATATAGTATTTGCAAGAGACTTTGAATTTGCAACAAAATTTAAAATTATAAGACTTAAATTGCTAATAAAAAAATCATCTCAAAGATTTTTTATTAGCAGTTTAAGTCCTTTAATTTTAAAATTTTGTTGCAATTCCAGTACTGAAATGGCTGAAATTGTGTTGAATTTTTAAATCACAAAACCAAAAAACAAAATGTTCAAATCTTAAGACCAAAATGTCAATAAATTAAACCAATAGGACAGAAAATTACTCCCTCCATTTTAAATTATATGTCGTTTTGATTTTTTTGATTCATCCATTTTACTATGTATCTAAATAATAATAATGTCTAAATACATAGCAAAATGAATGAATCAAAAAAGTCAAAACGACATATAAATAATACATTATAAATGTATTGACATTTTTTGCAGGTGACAAAACGAAATATAATAGTACTATATGATTTGACCATCTAACACTGTTCGGTTTGTCATAATAATCCTGAAGTAGCAAAAGATAATATTGGATTTTTTAGTAGAAACCGTGAATTTTTGAAGGGTTTCAATTAATGGTTTTGTAATTTAGTATAGTATCAATGATCAAATAATTGAATCAACTGAAAAAGCATACGAGTTACTGAATGAGATGACTTGGGTCTCTTCCAACTTAACCAG